CCCCAAAACCCCAAAACCCCAAAACCCCTTTATACAGATTTTGATAACTTCAAGACTATAATTAATTAATAAGCTATTTACAGCAATGAAAGAAATCTTAAATATTCATATAGGATAATTTGGAGTAAACTTAGCTGATCAGCTATGGAATCAGCTATATTTTGAAGACATTGCTTCAAATTAATACTAATAACAATCGCAAGATGAAAGAAATCTCTTATTTGAAAGTATGAAAGAAAATGTTAAATTCAAAGCAAATACAATACTATGTGATTTGGACAGTGAAGCAATCATTAAGGTTTAGAAGAATGATGTTAATCAAATATTTGGGGAGGAATCAATAGTATATACTCACGAGGGATCTGATGCAATATCTAGTTGAGCTAAATACCATTGCGGGAAACTATTTTAAGAGTAATTAGAAGATATTATCAGACATAAAATTGAGAGAATAGATGAATTTGATGGAACTATTCTTTATTTTTCACCATGTGGAGGAACTGGCTCAGGTGTGTCTGGTGTTATTTTAGATATGCTTGGTATAATTGCCCCAAAATAGAAAAGCATAGGATTTTAGCTTTTCCCAAGTGAAAATTTCTCTAATATGGTTGTTGAACCTTACAATTTTGTGTTTAGTGGATGTCAGATGGTAACTAAATTGGATTTCAATATCTTTGTTACTAATGAAAATGCACTATAGATACTTAAGTCTTATCGAGGAATAGAAGCTCCTAAACATGAGGAAGTAAATAGACTTTATGTAGAGTTTTTATCTAATTTAACTTCAAGTGCTAGATATTTGAGTGATTAAAATTCTAATAGATTCTCTATAGATCAATTATGTTAGCAATAATAGCTGTACTAGTATATAAAATTTTATTCTCCAAGTCATTATGTATAGGATAATAAGTCCTAATCATTTCAAACTACTGATTATGCTTAAAAATAGCTAATAAATAGCAATGAGTATAGCTTAGGGTATTATAATGTAAAAGCAGACCCTTCGATTCCCAATTTTTCTTTTGATATTACAACATTTACGAGAGGCTCTGCCAATAAGTATGGAATTATTAGAGAATATTTAGGATTGTATTAAAATGTTAAGTAGTCAAAATATTTTGGTCCTAAACTTGCTGATCAAAGAATATTTTCTCATTATTTTAGTGACCAGTAAGCTCCTTAATATTATAAAGATATTAACTGTGATTAACTCTTGAATGGAAGTTCTGAATTTTAGTCTTCATTTTACTAACCTAGCTCTGAAAAGTTTAACATGAGTACGTTATGCACCTCAAGCAATATAATAACTGTACTGAGAAAAAACTGCGATAAGTTTGATAAATTGTATCCAAAAAGAGCATACTATCATTATTACGTTGGAGAAGGAATGGAGACCGGAGAAGCAGCTGAAAATAGAGAAATAATTGAAATGGTAATAAAGGATTATGAAGATTTATCATATACTTAGAGGGATTAATGAGAAATTTATTTGGCTAAAAATATTCACTAATTAATATGGATAATCATAAAAAGATTAAGAGAGATATGATTTTATTTTTATTTTTTACTGTAGAAGATGATCGCCTTATCTGGAATTGTGGGGTTTTGGGGTTTTGGGGTTTTGGGGTTTTGGGGTTTTGGGG